AATCCCCTCCATACAATATGCTTTGGGAAAAAAAAAGTTGAAGTTAGAGCAGCATGTAGGAGAAGTGTTGAAATGAAGAATCCATTAATAGCCTGAATAGAATTTTCTATTCCTGGGGCTCGCAGCTGACCATAGAAAACACTTTTGAAGATTAGAGGAAGTGTTTGTTACTGAAGAAGGAATTTTTTTATGTTATTAGTTTGTGCATTGCTGGATTGGGCTTTTCAGTGCTTCTTTAAGATTCTTCCCTCATGTTACAACATACACTTTCAACAAAGCCTTAGCTCCAGGAGAGGAATGTGTACTTGGGGCATATGTAAATATTTGCCTAAATCGTAATCTTTCTTACAAGTCCTGCAAGATAAAAAATAAATGTATATATGTTGCATGTACTATGATAATGTGATCCAGATACTTTACAGGCCTTAACTTACTGGATACTCATGAGTAGCGTTTTGTGAAGTAGGTAAAGGGATATTGACCTTATTTTATTAAATAGAAGGTGGTGATGGCCTGAAAGACAAAAATGGCGTAAAAGGAAAAAAATTCTTGCCCCAAAATGCTTAGACAGCAAATTATTTGAAAAAGGTCTCATTATACATTATGAATCTCAGGCAGAGAAAAAATTACTTGTAGAACGCTTTCCACTGAAGTTGACAGTAGTCCAGCAGGAGCAAAACATGCTTGGCAAAGTTAGATCAGCACCAAAACCTTCTGTTAGGTGTACTGAGTTTTACTGGTGGAATTACATTATCACATTTGAATTGATCTCTCTTGCTTGTTACATCAGGATTTTGTGACGTACCCCAGAACACAGATACATACATGGTATAGTTGCTCAGTGGGGAAAATCTGAGTAAACCGAACGTAACTGATGAGGGTACAGTTGCAGGTATGGAAGTTAAAATTCCTTGGGTTGGTGTCTACCATTTATTTGAGGGGTGAACGTAATGGAGCCAAACCTCCAATTTCGTCTGTAGTCAGCAGGATTCAAACCTGTTCAGCAAGACCTCAGTAGATTTTTAGTCTGTTGCCTCAACCGTTCTGCCTTGGCTATGTGATGCATTCGTGGAAACCTCGCTGTGCTGGTAGGAAGGTCGCTGCTGATGACTTGCTCTGGCCATGGAGAGTAAGACGATGGTATGACTGTCATTGTAAGCCACAGGTCCTGTGGTGCGGCCTCTCCAGCTACTGGCTGCTCTCTGTGCTTGTAAGTCACTGCACTGTGGGAAATTGGTGGGGAAGTGTAGCCCAAGTGTGTTGAGACCTGGTGATTTCTTGGATGTCAAGGTTAAGATCCTTTCAAGGAACTCTAATACCACAGAAGGCTATCTTGATCTTACCTTAACTTTGTAGAGCAATTAAGTAGCATATGTAGTGTATGCAGTTTTCCTAACTGAGATACCGCTAATTTTCGTAGACAAAATGCACGAGAAGTCTTACCATTTTATGTCTGTATAATGTATTCTCCATAGTGTGGGAGGACATACTGCTTAGAAGGTCAGTCATGATTCATTATATAGATATTGAATCCTCTTTTCATCACATTTGCAGCTTGTACATCTTTTCAGATACTTTTATTTGCCACTTTTCAAGTAAGTAGCTAAATTAGTAGCTGAGCTGTAAATAATAGTAAAACCCCTCTAAAAACAGTCTTACTGTTAAAGTGAAGGCATATTTTAAAATTTTAGTGATTTTTCCACTGTCTCTTCTTTGCTGCTAACTTGTGAAAGAGGGAACAAGAAGTTCACATCTTCATTCATGTACAGACTTAGGTAAAAAGCTTAATCCTTCAGTGGTAAGTGTTAAATGCTTCTTCAGGTTTCCCAGCGCCTTTAAGTACTTCCATCATCTTCTTGAATTGCACCCACACCACCTTTTCCAAGCACAGAAAATCAAGGCAAAAGATTTAATATCTATAAAAACTATTTAACAGGGAGGTTTTCTGTGAAACATTTGAAGATCCATGGCACTGCACAGACCTATTATAAAATCTCTCCAAGTCACCCCCTGAAAGCACAGCACCCTCTAAAAGTATCACAGAAGGCTCCGGTTGCTCACTTATCCTCACCTACAACCAAGCAGTGAGCTAGAAGAGAAGGAGAATCCAGATGCATTAGCAATCCTTCGAAACCTCTGTTCTCCTGGCTTGGTACCCCTAATGATTTAGATACTGCATATCAAAACTGATTGCAAAATCCATACTGTGGATTGAAGCTCCTTAAGAGCTTCATGCCTGTTCTTGCACAGAAGGGTAATTGTCAGTGCTCTGAGCTTCTGTCCTGGAAGTCTAAATTAAGAACAAGCCTCTGGGCTGCTGCTAGGCCTGCAGTAACTTCTCAGACTTTGTCCTCCATCTGTAACCGGCTGACCTGAGCTGCCCCCAGAAGACAAATCCACTGTACCATGCTGTCAAAGCAAATTACTAAATATCAGGCAGCACCACAGAGGAGACAGAAGCCAAGATCTTAGCAAAAGTAAAAGGTTGTTCTTCCATGCTTGCTGAGGAGTTAAGGCAAACTAAATGCTTTGGCGGGAGGGAAACATTCCCCTTTCCCCAGATGCTGCCCTGACACTTGATCCAGAAAGTAATCACGTCTCCCATGAGGAGAGGGAGTGAGATGTTAAGGAGGCTCTGCTGGAGCATCACCCACATATCGAAGAAGTGCACCCAACACACTGCAGCGCGTGTGGGCTTTGGGGAAGGGACTCGGAGGGCAGAATTTCCTGTTTGCGTTGTTTATAGTGGAGGCTGGGTACAGGCACAAACCAGGAACGAAATTTGTGCAGGGAGTGAGCACTTGATACCCCGTTTCTCCTGTGATACATCTGAAGCATGTGGGCGATGTCAGGTGCTTAATGAATGTGGGGCTGCAGGAGCAGGTCACCCACAGTCTCTATCCGCATCAGTAATAGCACTGGGAGCCACCCTGGGCTCCGGGGAAACTGTTTTTGGCTTTCCCTGTGCCACCTGCTGCCACTGCCCAGACCGTGGTGGCAGCAGATGTGGGCAGGGCCCCAGCAGCTCTGGTGTCTCTAGGGTACCTGCTCCCAGGCGCCACCGTGGTTATGTACCTGCTTCTGCTTACTGCTCTGTGGAGGAGCTGTGTGTGCTAATGGGGTGATTTGATCCGATGGATAAACTGACTTTTTATAAGCACTGTGCCTAGATACCTTTGGGAGAGGTGGGCGAGGAGATGGGACAGGGCACTGAGACTGCTGTTTGAATAATAAAAGAATAGCTCCTGGTTAAATCTGGGCTGATATTCCCTAGGGAGTTCTGCCTTCAGTTACTGACGTGATTTCTTTTTTGCTCTTCATCTGTGAGTATCTCCCTCACCTCCCACATAATACTTGCACCATCAATTCCTTACAGCCTGCTCTGCTGCTTTCTTATAGGGGTGCGTGCTGGATCTGAATCCATTAGTGCTTAATGAGCTAGATATTTAAAGCTTACCATTTAGGTTATACCCCTATGTTCTTCTAAATGAATACGCTTCAAATATTTACAAATCAAAAGTAATCATTTAAAATGCCACTAAGTTAAGCTGATTCTACTTACCAGTTTTCCAGTAAAAATACAAATGAGGAAAGGTCTTTAATCAGAGCACAATATGCAAGGCCTTCTCAGAACAGTCCAAACTAACGCAGACGTGAATGTTAAATGCCTATAAATACTGGAAAAACAGTTTGTGAAGAGTCCTTACCAGAGCTGATGCTCTGGAAGGCTGTGATTTCCCCATAACCCACCTAGTAGCTTTTGAACTCAGTGCCTGTTCCGAAAGTTAGCGGAGAGACAGACGTCTCAAAGACCTTACGTTTTGACATATTTCTTGAAAACTGATGGGGCGATAAGGGAAGAAGCCAGCAGTACTGAGGAGGAGGAGGAGGAGAGGTTTATCACGTGGGCATGAAATACAAATCTGTAGGGAATAAAGCTGCATTAGTCCTGCTGCTTGTAAAGTATGTTGGTTTTCATTTACAATAAACTATTCAAGCTGATACCAAAATCTGCCAGAAATCCATGTTTTGTTATTTTGTTCAGTGATTTGCAATTTACTGTATACTTTGTCATTATTTTGAGGAGACTTGGTTGTTTTGTTTATTTAGAAGTAAGCTCACTTACTTACCTGTGCAGTTTGGAGATACAATTGGAGCACTGTTCTTTGGTCCGTTGCACCAGTTTTATGCCATGATTTTATTGAAGACTCTATAATACGTGTTAAAAAGACAAGCTGAATATATTTGAAGCTGAATATATTTGAAACTGGCATGCCAATTAAAATGTGGGGAGAACAGAGGGCTTTTTTTCCTTGGAGGGGAGAGTCCTGCCATTTTTGTGTAATGAAACAATTTGGAAACATTCATAAGGCAGCCTCCATGCTGGAAATGGACTTTCAACTCCTGCTCAATAGACTAGAGGCTGATGATAAATCATGGTAAACCATGGAAATTACCTGATCTCTGTGGGGGAAGAGGGAGAGGAGGGAAAGAACTGATAGCTGCTCATCTTCTAGGGCAGATTATAACCTCCTAACCAGGTTATACACCCCCTTCCCTTTTTATGCAGCTGAGAACAGTAGTGTCTTTCTTGTAAATGAGGTCTCCTACAATGGAGACTGCTGGCTGAGAGTCTGAATTAAGAACACAGGAGGAAAGACAAAAGAGCAAAGCCTGTTTAATTAGGATGAAAGATACCCCCCCTCCAATCCCAGTTTAGCAGAGCGTAGGGCTTGTTAGCACTGAAAGGTTTGACTTGCTGACTTGGGTAAACGCAATGCTTGGCAGATGAAGTCATGCATAATTAATTGTTCTTTGTTGCATTCTTTCCAATGTAATGACTTGTAGCATTCACGCTTATAATAATTGATGTTTTCTGTGTGCAGGAGCTTCAGGACAGCCAATTAAGGCAGTGGAGGTGGTAGCTGTGCAGCATCTCTAGCATCTGTGTGTTACCAACATATGGGCTCTAACTTTTTTTTTTCTTTATTTGTTTCTAGTGCCTAAAACAGTACATGCAGCTGGCAATTCAAGAAGGTTGTGGTTCTCCTATCACGTGTCCAGACATGGTATGCTTGAACCATGGGACCCTACAAGAAGCAGAGGTATCAACACTTTTTTCTTTCTCTTTTTTTTAACATAAACCCCCCCAAACTTCTTTATCTACATAATAAATATGATCATACACTTTTTCCTCCCTTTGATTACCTTTAATGAGCTTTTGGCAAGAAGCCTGACTGACAAGAGGAACTAGAAACAAACAGATGTTTTTCAAGAGTTTTGCTCCTTTTTCCTTCCCTCTGTGCCTTGAGGAAAGGCTTACTTGGCATCCGAACAACCTCCGAATTACCCATGCAGCTGACTTAACCAGAATACCCTGTATCCCAGAATTGCTAAGCCTCCATCAGTACTCTCAGTTAAATCAGATTTGATTTGACTGCAAACACTGAAATTCTTGTGCCTCTCTTAACGCAAGAGGAGGAACTCAAACTGATGGTACACAAGGCCAGAATTTCTTCATGCATTCTTCAAACAAACAATTTGCTGCCCAATATAAGCATGCAAGACTCTGTATAGTTATATGGAAAGAAAGGTATCTGCACAGCATGGGTAGAAGTACGTCTTAAGAGATATGAGAAGTGTCTTCATTCCCAAGGCAGAGATGGGAGAGGTTGAAAGCTCAGAAGCTATATGAGGTTTAGGCAGAGCTGCTTGCACGTCTGGCATGTGCACAAATAACTGGAAGGTTCAGTTTGGAAGTTGAAGGTGGAGAAACTGGAGGGGAAGTGTGCTCCTCAGACCTTCTTGCACCGCTTGGGACAACGGGGCTCAAGGGGGCTGTAGATGGCCCCTACCAGGCTGCTACCAGGCTGCTTGATGGTCTCCCAGCAATGCTTAAGCAGCCTCCTGCCTGACTTAGGGCTGGTGTAAAGTTTCTGAATTGGGCTTAGCGCCAAACCCATGACATGGGGAGGAGCTGTTGGCAGCGTGGCTGGAACCCTCATACATGCCAGGTGTTCTGTGCATCTAGAAGGCCATGGAAAACTGTGGGCAAATCTGATGTTGCCCTGCAGCCATCCTTGCTTGCTTGCCTTGTGAGCCAGGTGGGCCCCTGCTGGGCCTGGGAACACAAGCAGGAAAAAAAACAAACCAGGAAAAAAAGGTGGTTAAGGGATTTTGGCTGGTTTTGTGCATTCTCTCTGCATTTATTTGCAGGGACAAAATCAAGGAAAATCAGATCTCCATCCCTGAATTAAAGAAAAGCAGTTTATCTTCTGGGTTCCCTTGAGCCCTATGTATACAGATGACATAACTGTGGTAGAAGTATATAATCCTCTTCAAATGCAATCAGTGGCAATGCAATTCCCAATATCAAAAATGCCTTTTTCTCCAGAAAAATTCAGGATCTCCTCTCCAGCATGCATTTGAAACGCCGTGCTTAGCTGAATCAAGGCCTGGGAGTCGCAGCTATGTTTGTTATGGCGTGCAGGCATATGGTGGAGCTTTTCTTTGGCTGAATCCAGCTATTGTGGAAAGTAGCCAGGTGTTTCCCTTCCTCCTTTCTTCTGCATAGATACGGAGAAGGCATAGCAGTGCCCCTCCCACCCATTGCACCAGATTGGAGACAACTAGCCTTTATTGAAAATGCGTTTTTAAAAGAAAATTAACAAATGGTAGGAAGAATTCTGCTCTGTTAAGCTAGGGTTATGATGCTATAGGAATTATAGAGATATGTTTCCCCTTACTAAAGCAGGAATACACTCCAGGGCATGTATTAATGGACCATTAGCTTAATCCTTGGGTGCTTTTTGGGCTGAAGGCAGAATGACTAAACAGCCCAAATGTGCATTAGTGTCCTGTGGATAAATGAATGTTCTGACGCTCCCTTTTGGTGATGCACTTGAAACACAGACCTTCTGCTTGAAAAGCAAACAGCCTCCCAACCTGGTTAAAATGAACTGCTTACGTATTTTACCAAATATCTATTTCTTTAAGGAAAAAAAAACCCCAAAAACCCAGGAACAATAGAAAGAACAGATTGTCTCCGTTAATAATCTGAAAGATTAGTATGTAAATGACAGATTATATATGAGCACTCTGTATTCTTTTTTCTTGTCTCTAAAGGCTGTTCCATGTGAAAATGTAGCCTTTAAAAGCTATTATTTAAAAAACAGAACCTTATTCAGATGGTAGAGAATGTGCTTAAATATGGCTATTGTTTGGTATGGAAGTACTATTTAGAATTACATTTTATTCATTACACACTCCGAAACTCCTGGTGTAAAAGTATGAGCCTTCTTGGCTCTGGAGGGTCTGGATGTTTGGTCTCTGGCTTCTGGCAGGAAAAGGTTCCTCACCAGAACAGTGCCATGAGGAATGACATGTTGCCTGTACCGGGAGAAAAAAAACCCAACTGGTCTTTTTATCTCCTTTGTGTTAGCATCAAGGTTTTGAAAAAGTGTATTTTTCATGTCATGTCCATTCCAGACTCTGCTGTGACTGACGTTTACCAGGTACTGTTACAGTTTGGAGAAAAAAATAGCAGTTCAAACTGTCTTTGTCGTGGACATGGTGTTAAATTGGTTCCTATACTTTGGGCTAAATTATGTGTAATTATGTCAGCTAACATGGTTGTTTTGTTTGCTTTTTAAATGCCTTTTGCCCCAGCCTGCACAAGGGAGATAAGGTGAACTTAGACATAATTTGAAGTGAAGGAAAGCCTTTTCATTGACTTCAGTGCATTTTGGATTGAGCTCACTTCAATAAGGAAACTGAACAATTAATAACAAAGCTTATAAGCAATTTATAACACATTATAGCTATGAAAGTTCCTCTACTTCCCTCTTATTCAAGGTGTGTAACATTTCTTCAGTGCTTTCCTGTGATCTATTTGTCTTCATTGTGAATTAAGTCTGTTTCATCTTCTCGGTAAAATTCTTCAGAGTTTATCTTGTTTGGTACTAAATTATGAGAGCCTTTTCACAGCTCTTGCCTTGATTCTGAGACACGTGCTTCTTGTGTTGGTTTCGGGGGGTGGAGGGGGTCAAAAACTCTAGTTAACATTTTAAACAGGGAATAGAATTTCTTTTTGTATGTCTTATGAAGAAACGAGGAAGTGTGAATAATAGGAATGTGTCTCTCTCAAACAGTTGAATATTTCATCAGTGTTTGGGGAGTAAACTGCTTATTCAGAGTATAGGAGATGTTGGGAGTTAAGGCTTTACTTTTGGTGAGCTAGAACATTGTGTCTCATTGGACCTCAGAAGAAAATGTTCCAGGTTCTTATTCTTAAAAAACTTAAAATGAAAAGTCATTTGAACTAGAAAATTGTACTTTTCAGTACTTTGAAAATATGTTTTCTGAAACCCCTGTGTTTGGTTGTTTTTTATTTTTGCTTTAACAAAATCTAGTTGAAACTGGTACGTTCCCCAGCAGTTTTTTTGTTTTGACAAATAGTGCATTCAAACAGAAGGAATTGTTCCCCTGAAGTGCTTGAAATCAAGGGCAGTCCTAGGTCATATCTTGACCTGTTACATCAAGATAGCCACTGCTTGTAGTATAGCTGGTTTTAACTAGAAATAAATGGGTGTTGGTGGTGGGAAGGCAATGGTTTTGGCTACAGACTCTGTTTCAAATAGCTGGTTACACACAAAAAAAGGGAAAGTTTAAAAGCAGTCTCATTAAACAAGATGTTTGTCCTTTCGAGCTCTAATAGTACAATAAACAAAGATGATTTGGATTCATTCCGGGAAGCAGAAGGTAGAAGGAACATCTTATGTTAATGCAGTTCTCTTTAACCATGCAGACTTCAGTCTAGAATATTCCTGTCTGTCTTGGGAATTTGTTCCGTTGATTTAATTGGACCAGTTAATATCCCTAATCTAAATAAGGGATAATTTATTATGGTTTGAAATGGTTTTACTTGGTGCAAATCCAATCACCAGTGTAAGCTATGAATCAGGGTGAGTCTCAACTGCATACAGGGATTTCTAATGCAGTACTCACTTGGATAATGTCTAGGGGATTGTGCTTTGCTATTTCTGATTCCTGTATTGTTTTGAAGCTTGTAATGTTGATGCCAATGATCCATTTATACATAATCTGATTTGGATTAAAACCATGCAGCAGGCAGTAAAGGAGATACTGATTTGGGCTCTCCTTTTGCCTCTTAAGTTAGACAAGGAGAATTTCCCCTTTGCATGCAGTGCAGATTCTGCTTATTGTCCCTCCGTCTGTGTAAATCCATGATCTACAGCAGTGCTAACCCGACAGAGGGTTGTCAGCGATTTGTAAAGTGATGCTGAAATGGGACGGTGACCCAGATCTTAAAATTCTTAATTGCGTTATATTCTGTACATAGCTGAACAAAAATCCCATTGGGAGTCAGTTTAAAATACCAGTTTTATTTTTAATTTGAAAATTGGTTTACATTTTGCTGGGGGCGATTGAAATGGTAAAATGAGGAGGAAGGTGAGAAAACGTTGCAGGCCAACCTATCTTTTACAGGGTCAAAATTAAAATGTTTGTTCTTCTTATTTACTCGTTTTTAAAGAAATCCAAGGGGAGCAAATGAGAGAGTCTTAATTTTGTTTTTATTTGTCACTAAATAAGAGAAGAGCTCCTTAATGGAGAAAATGAATAATTCAATATTTCATGATGACTCTAGTGAGCATGTTAGCTGATGAAGAAAGGTGTGGATGTAATTTCTAACAATGAAGAGATTTGAACTCCCATACCCCTTTCAAAAGCAAACCACAGCCCAAGTTAAAACTATTTTGCACTGCTTGGAAAACTAGACAGTGCCTCTGTGAGTGGGACTTTCGCAGAGGTGGGCAATGCAACCCTTTGCAAGTAGCAGTTGCTGCTGCCAGTGCAGGATCTGCCCTTGCTGCCTGTCTGCTAAAGCGAGAAAGGGAGAAGCACTTGTCCTGGTGAACATTCCTCCCTTGGCATTGTCAAGGTTTGATTCATACGAGTGTGAAAGGAAGTGAGATCTATTCAGTTTTCTTGATCGCCTCCTTGCATCTCCCTTGAAAGCCTGAGAATAGGTGGAGTAGTGATTTTCCCTTTCCCCTGTGGTAGCCGGTGTTTAAAAACAGGGGAGTTGTTCTTCCTTGGCTCCTGGTTACTGCACTGCCCGAGTTACAAGGAACAGTCTGCCCCTGTGTAAACTGAACCCAATTATTTCATATCCTTTCATTTAACTTCCTTTGCTCTTTTGTCTCGCCTAGTAATAGCATCCCCGGTTACCATACCATGTTGGGCAATCTCTTTGGACACTTGGCAAGGGTCCAGCTGGAGCCTTTTGTGGTAGTAAGCCTTCAAAATTTTGCTTTTTGAAATATCCATGGATAGTTTTACTTCAGGTGAAAGCTGCTGTTCTTAGCGAGAGCTCTTAGGTGTTCTTGTGCTCTATAACAAGAGTATTTTAACTGCAGACATTGCTTACAAAGTATAGAAAACCAGAAAAGTTATTTCAACTCCCAACAATCTGATAAGTCTCAAATCAGCATCTTTTCAGGAGAGGAGAGTCCTTGCCTCTCATTTTCTTCATAGGTTTTTATTGTAAGCTTAACCCAGTATTTAAAAAAAAAAGCCCCAAAACTTGTCCTGTAGCATTTCTTGCTGCACTGAATAATTTCATAGCCTACAATAAGAAACGTCTGCTTTCTGAAGTGCTCATGGTCTTTCTCTTTTGGCCCTTTGCCATCTGCCAGGTTGCTGGTTTGCTTCCTCCCCAGATGTCCATCCTCTGTCCAGCCCAGGAGTATGTGTGGTTGTGCAGGAGAGGAGGTGTTTGGGATGGACTCCCGTGTGGGGCTGAAGAAGTTGTATGAAGATGAACATTTAGACTCTGATGCCAAGTAGGAGGAGATAAACACCTAATCCCCTTAACTGTGCTTATGGCTGTCCTTCTTGATTAAGCGTAAATGAGATTAAAAGTTCACTGAGGATATAGGATTTGCTGATTTTTTGGGGGACCCGATAGTCACGTTTCGTTTTTTTTTCAATTGAGTTTGCACGTACAGCTTTGATGTGGCACTGAATCCAGGCAGCAGCGTATTGTGCATTCCTTTCCTCATGCCTAAAGATACTAAATCTGTGAGGGGCTTTGGCTCACCACCCTCCATGTGGGTACTATCAGAGGCTGGTCGCACCTCACAGGTTTACCTCCATGTGGGTACTATCAGAGGCTGGTCTTTCAAAGCCTGCGGGAGTCAGTGGCAGAGGTGATGGGCTGCATGTGTCGGTGCCTGGAGCTGCGTGCAGGGAGGGGGGAGCTGAGCTGTGAAGAGGCTACATAGGAAGAAGAGTGAGGCTGGGTGAAACCGGTGGGGAAGGCTGGCATGGTAAGTTTAGGTTTTCAAGAGGAGAAAGGGAAGCTTTCAGCACTGACTCTGCTTCCTATTGAAATCTGCAGTAAAACTCCTAACTCTGCTCCCACTGTAATCAAAAAGGCCGATTTTTAATACATGGGAAATTCTGCTCTTGAAAAACTGTTTGTTAAAAGCAAGAGCAAGCACAGAAAGACCCCAGACAACTAAACAATTCACTCAAGTGGCTCTTACAGCATTGAGACTCGCTGTTTTAATTTAGTCGTAATGAAGGGAAAATTTAAACTAGTTGTCAATGCTCACCCAGCTAGAGAAAAGCAGATGACTCTTTTTGTTTTCCAAACTCTATTTAGATTCGCAGCTGCCCTGGGGAGGAGTGGGCAATACTGAAATGATGTGTCTTGTGGGTTTTACATAGCTTTGTTGGTTGGCTTCATTCTTTGCTGAAGCTGCTGAACATCACGCTTTTTTCCCCGTTTGATTAAGTTACTATTTGTTTTCAAGAGTATTTCAGCTGACTTGTGATGAACAGGTGAAGAGTTTTCCAGGAAGCTCTCTGTGTCTTACAGTCATATTAATGTACTATTGCTTAACCATGCAAATACTTTCATATTAAAAATAGTTTACACCCTGAATTCAGAAACTGAATGAGGACAGTACTTTGACCCAGTGCTGACTTACTAGGCTAAGAATATGCTTTGTAAAGATTTGTTGGTGTTTCCCATTTTGATATTAAATCCTTTGATTTCTTCAACTATAAGTCTTTTAAGCATCTTTGAACACTTAAATCTTTATATCAGTTGGATTATTTTTTGTATGACATTGGTTTAGGTCAAATAAATAATCCAAACATCTGCTTCAAAATGCAATTTTAATTCCAATTGATTTGAGATCTCAATAAAGCAATTTTGTATTTTATAATACACAAATGGATATATTTTTTTTCGTTTTTCCATCTATGAAAGCAAATGTATTCACAGCATGATACTGAATGTATATTGAATTTTTTTGTCTTTGTATTTCTTCTCATGAGTGCCATGTCACACAACCCAGAAGGATAGCAAGGGCGAGTGTCCACTTCACTGAGGGCAAAATTTTGCCTTTTACAGTAATCTGAAGGACTGTGGTGGGATACTGGATGTGAGGGTTGAGAGCCCTTCACTTGGAAGCTGTCATTTCTACACTGTCTCACAGTGCTTCAAATGATTAGGTCTTGTATTAGTATTAGTCTAGGTTTATTTTCAGTAAAAGAGAAAGACATTTTCAGTGCTGGTACCGTGTTACGAATGGATCAAATAAAGAGAATGATCTCAGATTCTGAGTTCAACAAACATGTGGCTCCTGAAGTGTCTGTGAAGTTTCTTTTCAACCCGTCCTTACCCTGTATGCAGGTTTGCTTATTAGTTTTACATAGGGTACTTGGTTTTCTTACGTAGACTGTTAATTGGAGATTAGAGCAGTTAGCCTTTTAGGCTGCTAGTTTAATTATGGTAATGTGTAAAAAGTATCAGCAAAGCCTGTTTGTCTATGCCAACTAACTTTGTTAACTTCTGTCCAGTTCCTAGTCGGCTGGTGCGTGTCTAAGGCAAATTCCAACAGCGATGGCATTAACTGTCTCAGCCCAAAACCCGTGAAGTGAATAAAAAATGGAAACCAGAATAGCTTTTAAGTTCCTGAGAGCTAAGTGACCCCTGCCATTAAGACTGGGAGACATGAATGAGGAATCATTCATTTGAGCTGTATTCTTGTGCATGAACAACATGCTGCAGTGTTCAAGGCTGGCAAGCTGTCACCCTTCGTTACATTAAACCAGCATGAAATAAAACTGAGAAGCCTGAAGTAAATACAGAATCCACAGAGAAGGCTTTCCTGTGCATGGTAAGAAAGGTGTGGGCTGAACTTCTGGGCTGTGTGGCTGAAATAGGAGAGGTCAAGAACTACTTTACGTTTTGGAGAAGGAAGTCAAGGTACGGAGGAATGTGGTGGTGAAAGCAAGTAGGAAAAGAAGGTTGATTTGAGAGCCAGCTCAGGAGAGCAGGCGTGTAGAACAGGGTGCTTATTAATTTTTTTCAAGTCTATGTTTCTAATGCTTTTTCTGTGTGTTTGTTTCTCATTTCAGATTGCCTGTTTGGTGCCTGTTGACCAGTTTCAGTTATACAAGAGGCTGAAGTTTGAACGAGGTGCGAACCTTTTGGTTTCTATTACCTTCCTTTTTAAAGTGTTAGTGGAGGCAGCAGTATTACATACTGCAAAGACAAAGCCTGTTGGGCGAGTTAAGGAAGAAAGAGAGAAGATGTCTTTGTTTTGAAATAGTTTAAGAGCATCACTAGGTCTGACTGTGCTCCACAGACAAATTTGAAATTATTTCAGTGGAGCCCGATCAAGAGAGTGGCATCTTACTGAAATACCACACTTTTACTCAGGCTTGTGGGCAACTCTCAGATTGCCTGCCTGAGGCTCCATCGTTCTTCCCCTAGCATGCTCATTCTGGGTCCTTGAGGTGGTGGTTGTACTGGTAGAACTAGACAAGGTACTAGAAGCTGATGCAGGGCACACATGGTCCTTTCATACATCCATAGGGATCATCAGAACTTCTGAGGGGGACAGACCCTGCAGTTTGATGGGGATTTTTGCAAACATCCCTGCAAGAGAGCTTTTCTTATGTAGAAGCCTCACGTGTGTTCATCTAGTATATTTTATTTTTTCCTGAGGTATAATTGGACCCCTCATTACTGAGTAAGTCCTATTAGTAAAGAAGTTTGAAACTGAAGGTCTTATTGGGGCCAAGCTTTCCTATGCCAGAGGTCAGCCTTCTGCTTCAGGAGATGGTTCCTTGCCAAGGCTGAAGAAGAAACTTGCTAGTCAGAAAGATGAGGTCCCATGCTGGTTTTAAAGACTGACACCAACTTAAAAGTCTCAGCTGGAAGTCGCAGCATTTTTCAAAGAACTCACTCCATGGTAGCTTGCAGGGTAGTGTATCTGGGACTGATCTGCCCTGACTCTGCCTGTTTTCAGACTTTCCTTGAAAGACTGTATTTGTATTCTTGCTTTGCATGCATGCTTAGATGCAGATGGATTGGGAATGTATATGAAAATGCAGAGGTTCATAAAAGTTAGGCACAGTAATGCACTTGAAAAGATGGTCAGATAGAAGAATAGATGGGTTTTTACAGAATCTCATCTGGCATGAGTCACAGTGAACGACCATGAAGTACAAAAACTGCAAAATGAGCATACCCAAGTATGCCCCAGAGTTCATGGGCAGATGCAGATTGTAGCTATGATTTGCAGGCACTGAGGCCAAAAAAGAAAGAAAATCCTGAACCCTGCTTTCATTTCTTATTTCTCTCTCCTATTTACCTTCTCATTTACCCTTAATTCCTTAGGAAGTCCCACCAGTTCATAAGCCAAGCAGTGGCTTGTCTACAGCCCTAGACAGTGGAAATCAGAGCTTGTTAAATCACCATATTAAAAGGTTAAGAAAGAGAGACATTCTTGCAATACATTATCTGGTTTATGTAAAACCTTTTTTTAACTGAAGACTGTGAAACTAATGATTTCCTGGTATCTCCTCCTCTGTAACTAGCCAAAGCTGAACTCCATGATCTTTTGTCCAACTCCCTGTTACACTTTTTTTTTTTTACTGCCTCCCACACACGGAAGCCTGAAACTTGTCTATTTTTTAAATCCTCCTTCCCTTTTCTTTCTTGCCTAAGTCTGACAAATCCTCCTCCACCTCCACTACCTCTCTTCATGATGTTTCTAAGATCTGTCCTTCCTCCTTTATGATGAGTAAAACTGGCATGCAAGTGGCAGGCTTAAACCCTAGCCTTTTTGCCTTGCCTATTTGCCCCAGCAATAAATCCAGCTTACTGATGCCTGGAAACAACGTTTTCTGCTAACTCAAGTTCTGACCTGGACACCAGCACTAATCCCAACCCTGGCCAAGACCTTTTGCCTATCCTGGGTTTAGCACTGCCCCCAAGGCTGACCTTTTTGGACTCATCAGCTGGACCCGGCTTATTAGCTTCTGCTGGCCTGAAGCTCTGTTCTCAGACCTGATCCTAGCCTGGCAATGCCTGCCTGCCCAACCAGCGCCAACGCTGGCCTGATGGTCTTTTTCTGAAACTAGCAATAAACTTTCCTGATGGCACCTGCTGGGGCCGAATTCTGACCTCGAATCTGCCCAGGATCTCCCGGCAGCTGAGATCGGATGTGTGCCGTGTGTCTGTGTCAGCCATAGTGCAACCTAGCCCTTTTCAAACCTAGCGCTAAGCAAAGCCCAGGCCGCTACTGCCTAACTCTGCCCTCTCCCACGGGCTCTTGCCAGCCACAAACACTGTGCGCCTCACGATCCATTCTCATACCAGCCCTAAGCCAAACTCGGCCGTGGCTCCTTGACCTAGCAGCAAAAGCAGTTCATCGATCTTTGTGTTGAACCATGGGCCTTTCCCTAAAAACACGTGAGCTCCAGTCAGGATGCAGCCCAGTGGGCAGGGCTGGTATCAGCCAGAAGCTGAGCCAAGTACACCTTCTGAGGGCCATTGATTTACTTAATGACAGAGAACATTTTGAAGAACTGAAATACAGCATAATAGCAGCATTGCTCCTATCAGCCTTTCAGGGTTCATTTAAAAATGAAGAAAACCTTTATATGTTAAATATTTTGAGTTGCCTTTTTTTCTTAGTTTTCAGGTTTTTTCTTCAGACCAGGTGCTGGGGAAGAGCTAACTTGGGCTCGCTAGGGTTTTTTGTTGCTGAGGAGAAGGAGGCAGTGTGGTAAGGGGAATAAATAGAGAGCAATGAGTTTTCCAGACCTTGTTGTACCATCTTCTTTTCCGTGCTTGCAAATGCAATAGGCCAAATTCTGATTCTTAAAATAGGCAGGTACTAAGGTGTCCTTCATGATTTTTGCTCTGATCAACAAAGCCCTTTACTCAAACCCTTTAGCTTCCTATATTTAGACCCTTCTTGTCTCAGCTTTATTCTGTTGACATATGGGCTCTTTGCTTCAGCACCCCCTTTGCTTTACTAAAGATGCTAGAAATAAATAACCAGCTTCTTGAGTAAGTCAAAAGACTTCCTCTTGCTCTGTAGTCTTTGCTTACCAGTCTTCAAGTGATTGGTAAAGTCAATGCTTCTTACCCTTCCGGACATTTTCCATCGTGAGATGAATTTTGAGGAAAATTTTGAAGACCTGAAGAAGGACTTATACACCCAAAAGCTATTTTCCCCATCCCCCATCTGTGCTAACTATTTTAATAAAATAGATTTCCTTTCCATTTCCTTGTTTTTTAAAAAAATGGACAAATAATACTGGGTGAAAAAGTAGTGAGAAGTAATTGTCATACAATTGTGTGTCTGTAGACACTTGCATAGTTTAATAAGGAATGCACTGAAAATATTCTATCCTCTTGTGTTTTTTGTGTTCTTAGAATGCAGATGTTTTCAGACTTAAAAGCAAGCTTTCTAACATATCTGTAACTTCTCTACAATCAGTCAGGACCTAGCCACAGAGCTTCCATGCGGCATATTTTAATAGAAGAAACAGGAATTGCTCTGTATCTGTTTAGGATGCGGCTGATGTGGTCATCAGAAGTAACGAAAGAGAGGAATAGGATGTGGTTAGGACATATGAATTATATTTCAATTTCTGTGACAATTGCCCAATAGGCTGAGTGGTAGATGATGAGAACCTCCATTTTATGCCTGACCGAAAAGTAATCCATTTTAAAAGGAGGTGTTCCTAATATTCTGCGAAAGGCATAGTCTCATCCTTTCAGTGAGTACCTCTCCTGAGCTAGAAATTCTCCTTTTTTCAGGGTGCTGCATTTCCCCTGTCTGTCTCCCGCACCTCACCTGCTTGCTCACGCATTTTGTGAAAACTGGCCAGATCCCTGCCCAGTACTGGCACTGTTTGGGAAGGCTTTCCTCCTGAGAGTGGAGCGAGTGTGGCTGAACTGTCTGTAGGGTAGCAGGAGAAAGGCTCAGGAGAGAAATGGCCCTAACCAAAAGATGAAGCAGCTAGTCAGAGCAATATGATAGCCTCTTTCCTTTTTTTGGCTGCTCCTTTTTAGTTTGTTCTGGTTTCACTTGTACTCCATGGTAAACCAAACAGTATGAGACAGCATGGATTGCAAAACACCATATGTAGGTTCTTTGTAAAATGGAGGAAGTGGGAGAGGAATGAGTTTCATCTCATGCATTACATCTTGCTGCAACAAATCTGTAAAAATCAGTAAGATTTACAACCCAACTCCCCTCCTCCCAATGATGTCAAAACCAGACATCCTGTCTTTCATCCAAAAACAGGATAGGAGAATTTAGGTTTCCAAAGTTGAGTATATTAAGCAGCTATCTGCAGGAACTCCATTTTATCTCATTTTAATTGCTGTTTATCAACAGAAAGCATACAGAACCTACCGTGTGAAGGCTTAAATGCAATAGCCAGTACTAGGCCATGGTCTTACCCAGTTCAGAGTTTCTTTTCAGAGACACTGAGGGAAGCTACAAAAAAAACAATTTCTCAGTCAGGACACTACTTTTAAAAAGTATATAAAAATGTAAAATGGCTTGTACTGCCCATCCATGTCTCTCTCTTCTCCCCATGAATAAAGCTGCAAACTATTTTGTTCCAGCTTTCATTCAGTAGAAAGCAAAATGTTTGTTTGTTTTGGGGGCCAAAGGAAGCACATGTAAGAGAATAAGAGGAAAGAAGGCAACTAGATTCATGAAGTGGCTGGAGATAGAGGTATAGGTGTTTTGCTGGCACTGCCTAAATTATAGATGACAGTCTTTGTCTTGGATGTAGAAATTCTCCACAGCTGTCAGAGCACTCTGACACAGACTTAAAAATTACCTGTAGTCAGAGCATTGTGTACCTGTGTGTCGTGCAGCCAGCAGAGAGGATGATCATCCTTACATGGTTCCTCACTATAAGTGTCCTGGACAAATGGGAGGGAGGGATGGCTTTAAAGAAACTGGAAGTTTTCAAGGTGAACAGAGAGGTTTGGCATACTGGAAAAGAACGGAGTTTCTAGTGCATGTTAGGTTATGAAGTTTGTGGGGTGTCCTTCTCCCCAGGTGTTCATGCATGTGTATCTAAATGCTTGAGAGCTTGGGGGAAAGTTTTACTTCTTTGAACACGTTTCTAGTTGTACAGTTTCTAGTTTCTAGATATCTGGACACTGAACTGATACCACTGTTTTTCATGCTGACTGGAGCATCTGCTAGATATCCATCCACCAGCCCCCTTCAGTGTGGGCTACCAGCAACCTCCTGCAGAGGAGCAGTGCAGGCAGCAGGGTATGCATAGGAGGAAGTGCCTTCAACTGTTTCAGCAAAATTTGCCAGAGAACATATGTCTGGGCCCTTGTGCAGCCCTTTGTTTCAAGTGGGACAATATTTTATCTGCTGGAGGTACAGAAGAACTTTGTAATGGCTTTTGACACCTCACAGTCAGGTATTTCCACCTGTTCCTGAGACATCCCCTCCATCTGTTTATTTTCAGTGGTGGTACCAGAGAGCTTCCAGGGAAGGAGGAGATGCAGGTAGCTCCTGCAGGCACAGTGTCTCTGCAGGGTGGGAGTATTTGGCTGCACCTCATGGACTTGAGCAGTATAAAGTGCACACACAGTGGGCACCCCTAACAGTGAACGTGTTTCAGCTGGGTTTCTGGTGCAAGCCCAAATTAATTGAATAAAGGTTGGGGAGTGAGAGGAAGAATCAACATTTATCATTCACTGCCATGTGGTGATGTCTGTGACTCAATGTCTGCACCCCAAATCTTGCCTTGACTATTGTTGTAATCTGATACTTTACAAATAGTGATCATATAATAAAGTGAATATTAATTGGAGTTTGTAGATAGAGGGGAGAAAATAAGGCACGGAAAGTGACTTGATGTTAATTTAGTGACAGTCCTGCTATTTTCATGAAAGATACTGCATGGCTTGGACACATGGAAGACATGGAATGGCCTAATGTCACAAAAGACACGTGCTTCTCAGCAAGCAGCAGTTACGTTCATCTTTTGTACCTCCCTATAAAGGCAAAGAATACGTCCCATGTTGTGTATTGTCAGTCTTGTGATGCTGCTACTGCAGCTGCCTTAGCAGAGCGTAACTGCAGACCTGCCTAAAGAAGAGGAGTAGGCTCGATGCCCATGGGCATGGGCGTGGAGGGCTTCAACTTCCCCACCCACACGCAGAACTGGGTCTTGCATACCTGGACACATGCCACTGAAATGAGAAGGGGACTGTATAAACAGTTTTATTTCTCTGTTACATTTCAGAAGTCCACTTGGACCCCCAGAGGACATGGTGCCCTGCAGCCGACTGCCAAACGGTGTGCCATATTGCACTGAGCGAGTCGGGAGCGCTGGTGCCGGTGGAGTGCCCGGCTTGCCGCCTGAAGTTCTGCTCCTCTTGCAAGGAGGCATGGCACCCGCAGCGCCTGTGCCAGGAAAACCAAACTACTCCAGTACCAACTGAGCAGGGGTAAGAGGGGAACCCATGGAGGCCATAGGGTTTTTTGATTCTTTTTGGCATGGGGTGCCAGCTCTGTGCCTCACATCAGTTTCATGGAACGGCCTCCTTCTAGCTCCGTAGGTGCATGTCTGAGACTGTCCATCTCTCCTGGTGTTTCCTAAATATAATTCCAGTCTAATCATTATTTTAAATTATACATTTTACTTTTTAATACTTCATATTATTTGTGTGCTTACAAAGTTTGGGTTGCCACTGACATTTATGAAAGGCGAAGCCCTCCAGGGCTTTGAATCTGCCTGAAGGCTTTGTTTGCATACTAAAATTATGACTTGTGCCCATACAAAAAATCCAATACACTAATATTCCAGGATCCAAACTTTTCTTATACTGTGATGAAGAAATCACCCCTGCTTGATATTTATAGAATCTCTGCATACACAAATCTTAACTCTTACGCAAAGCGGGTGTAAAATGTCCCATTTGGTGCGAGAAATCTGATTTATGCTCATTTTGCATATGTGTGAACGACCTACAGATAAGGTTACATAAGGCAATCTACAAAAAGAAGACACTTCTGTGTTTAAATTATATAATGTCTGTGGCCATCCATCTTTGTTTTCAGAATCAGATTATGTTCAGTCATGTGTGTTCAAAGTTTTTTATAATTTTTTTTGCAAGAAATGAAAGACTTACTTAAAATCTAAGCATCCTGCTTGCTAGAGATTTCATCGAATAGGAGTCACCAAAGAGGTCTCGCCATAATTTTTCTTCTCCAGGTTTGATCTTTGGCTTTAGTGGAGTTTAAGGCTGTTTTGCTCAGGCAGGGACAAGTGCTGTAAGTTGCATAATCCAGTCATGTTAAATGAATTATGCAAGCTATTTTAGAAAGTGCTAATTTTTAATGCTGTAGGTGATACGTCTGTGGGCGTAGTGAGTGTTGGTTTTATGTAGCATAAAAGACCAAGGGAATGGAGTTTCACTTTTACATGATATAAATAATCTTACACCTAGTAGTGAGTATGCTTCAGTGTATTGTACTGAATATAAGGTTCAGACGTTGAGTGCATTAAGACAACTACATTAGATGCTCTGGAAGATAAGCACAGTACACATTAGGCAGTGGAGCTGAATATCAACAGTAATTACATTCACATTTCACTTTAATATTTCCCTTCTTTTCTAGTTCACTTATTGGAACGGAGACAGAGGCACCAATTAAGCAGTGCCCAGTTTGTCGGATCTATATTGAACGGAACGAGGGCTGTGCTCAGATGATGTGCAAGAACTGCAAGCACACATTTTGCTGGTACTGTCTACAGAACTTGGATGTAAGTGCTGCAGAAAAAAACAGCTAGATAAAGGGTAATGGGATTTGGGTTAGTCTGAGGCCCTGTACAAGCTCTCCACCAACTCATTGATATCCTAGTGTACGTCTTGGCTCAATTCAGCTTCTAACTTCACTTCTTTCTTCTCATTCATCCAGTACTTTTATTTATTCTTTTTCTATAAAGGGTTATAGCCATGTCTGTGGGTACCATGCTAGTTCTCTGAGGTAAATGGGACAGACTGGTTGCTTTCTGGAGGTCCATTCCAGCACTACCTTTCTCTGATTCCCTCTTCCAGTTCAGTAAAAATAGTGTGGTTGAGAGCCAGGAAATAAGTGTCTTCTACCTGCTCCAACTGCAAGGGTCACAGCCTGTCCAAAAAATGGTATGGTACTGGGTGAAGGAGGTTGTTCCATGGGCGGGTGTGTTAATAGCTCATATGGACTAGGTCTCCTTTACTAGTCCATCTCTAGTGCCGTGTTTGCTGAAGAGAATGGTTGGTTAGTAGGCTTGAGGATAAGAATGTTGGATTATGAACATGGGTTATGAAGCACAGGTTGCTAGTTATTTCTCAAGTGATACCAACTAGTCTCAACTTGTATGGACTTCAAACCTCCTAGCAGGATTAAGAGTACAGGAAGTAATGTGCTTGTGTATATGACAGTTTCCCTTTTTGGCACAGTCATCAGTAACTGTGGGAGTGTGAAAAGGACTTTACCAGCACTTGAAATAAAATGTTAGATGCTGCATGGCTTTTCTTTTCTTCTTTTTTGTACTCCACAGCCAGCAAACAATGAGACTTCCTCATTCTTCATCCTTCCTTTTCTCAGCATGCTAAACAGGTTTCGCTTAACATTATGTCCCATTTCTGTGTGTGTGAGCGTGCTTTTTCAACATGAGTCTTATGGCTTGCCTCAGAGTATATACAGTACACAATGATTGCTTAACACCAGGCTGAACTGGAAGACTGTCAGATTCTCACAGATTCTGCAGACATGCCCTTACCAAATTTTTGTCAGTTCAAAGGAGAAAAAAAAGAAACTGTAGTTGTATGATTCAAAGGTAGTTTTTCTAAATGTGTGCAGGTTTACAGGAGCTCCAGGTGTAGATGAAGGTAACACCTGCAGAGCCAAAGAGTAGGGCTGAAAAATGAAAGAGGAAGCAGCATCAGGTTACAGCACAGCCAGCTAGGGGAGGGTAATGCAGGGCATTAGTCACCTTCTGAAGAAAAAAAATGGATAATTTAATAAGTATTGGTGGGAAAAGAGAAAGTAAACAGGGATTTCCTACTTTTTAAATTTTCCTGTTAAGCCTAGGAACAAAATGACTCTAAAGTGCAGGGACAGCAGGAGAACAGAAAGTAGAAGTACCTTAGGAAGATGATCCCTCAGATTGCTAGCTTTCAGAAATATCTGTTGTTTACAGGCCCCTTTATCTTCACCAAATTATAGACTAGGTACTTGTGCAATAGGTGCAATGCATATGCTTATGCTTTTTAAAAGTGGGGGAGGAAAGACGCTATACAATAGCTCAGGTTCCAAACACACCACACTTCTTGAAACTGCAAGAAGTTTCTCTAGATAATTATTTGGAAGACAGGTGAACTTGTGTGCCGGCAGCTGGTAATTTTAAAGCAGTGTCAGGAAAGTTGTATTTCCAGTCCAGTCTTGAACCTCTCCCCGCAGTACTGTAACTTGCTCTTACAGCTTCTCCTTTTGTTTTTCAGAACGATATCTTCTTAAGACATTATGACAGAGGCCCTTGCAGAAACAAGTTGGGCCACTCGCGGGCTTCTGTGATGTGGAACAGAACGCAGGTGCGTTCCTAGTCAGCTGAGCAAAGCTCTCATGCATGCATGAAGCAAAGAGCTTTTACCCTTCAGTGAAGGACCAAGATGATTATTTTCATGTTTTCATCTATTTTTTGTGACCTATGCTGTGCTTATGCATGCACACGTGTATTTTATTTTCCGCATTGGCTAAATACATATTTTTCCCCACCATGTCTTTCAGGTTGTGGGGATCCTTGTTGGACTAGGTATCATAGCATTGGTGACCTCTCCCTTGCTGCTTGTGGCATCTCCATGCATCATCTGCTGCATTTGCAAATCTTGCCGAAGCAAAAAGAAAAAACACAGCCCGCCAACAACCTAAAACTTCGTGTCTCTTTGAGCCTCCATCTGTACAGCATATGTATGTGAGAAAGCACAATGGTTGTATTTTGGTGCCATACCTACCAAATAATACTCCCTTTTCTTGCCAATTCTTGGGATAAGTGCCTATTCTTTACAGGCTACTCTATCACTAACAAGTCCCAGCATGGGAAAAGTCTAGATGATTGTGCAGTACATATGATATAGGTTTTTGCTTTCTAAAAGGAAAACAGGACACCGTTCAGTAGTTCATATCCTTAAATATGAGCCACCTTTTGAGACTGCTAGAACTTTACCATCTTCCATCAGCTGCACGTGACTTGATCCTGCAGTATTACTCTGCCTTCGCAGACCCAGTCGTTACTGTCATGCTTTCTGTTGGTTCTCGGTGACACTCAGATTTCTTAGAAAGTTTTGGGTATTCTGTAAAAGGGGGAGAGGGAAAAGCCTGATGAAGTTCTTCTGCCTGCTAGCTTGTCTCCCGTTAAAGGTAACAAACTGTTAAGAAAATATATTTGACAGTTTCCTGTCAACTGGCTGCCATGGCATTTCTTTCAGCATTGAAATCTATTTGATTTATACTATTGATCTCAATTATAGAAGTAAAACCAACAAAACTATTTCTAACTAAGATTCTCTCTTCTGAGAGACAGGACTACCTTGAGAAAGCTATTATTTTTTCAGATCAAACATGACATATCTACCTTGAAATATCAGGAGTATGCATATTTCCCTGCCATTGGGCATGCCTGTTGTCAGTAACATGGGTGTAGCAAACTCACCATGAAGCTAATATTTTAAGAAAGGCCATGATACAGTCCCTATTTTCTGTGCAGTATTGGGATCTTGGTTGTGCATATATAGAGTGGCCGTATGGGTGTGGATATACCGAGCACATATGCACAATTTATTTTCTAGGCAGTCAGTATATTTTTTCAACAGTTTACATGGGGTGGCAGCAAGAACCCTGTTAAAAAGTTACTCAGATCAGGCTAAGCCAAACCCTCCTTTAAAACCTTACAGACCTGCTGAAGTGAATACTTGAGAAATGCTGTGTAAATGTAAGCTCCATCCATTGGCGGGTATTTCTTCTGTCCCGCCCAAGGTTAACAAACTCTGTTACCGATAATTTTTAGTTACTCTAAATCTGAAAGGCTGTCATTTAATGAACCCTTCATTTTAATTTGGTGCCTCACCACCAAACTAATTCAGACCCTGGTATCAGTTACACCTGTATAAGTTCGCTGAAACCTCACTGAAGAGCTGGAGTTACTCCAGGCTCACTCAGGAGTAGCTGAGATCAGACCCTGCTTCCTGGAATTTATTTCCTTGATGGCTGGTGCTCCTCACAACCCTGGCCGGTGGTGGCTTTTGTTCTGGACTCCCATCTGTGCATTTTATATCTGTGGGAATTGATACGAGTTTGCACTATATAATCTGTTGTAATTCCAAACCCCTTTCGGTAAGGGCTGCAAGGTTTAAATGAGATGCTCAGCCTGAGCGTTGTGTCGAGCTCACCCTCTGCCGGTCTGCCCTCCGCCATGCACACAGTGTGAGGCACCCGAAGAGTGCTGTGAAGAGCGTCTTTGCTGTTGCATTTGGCCGAGCCTCAGGAACTTTGCCTTCTTGGCAGCCATAAATGTGACCTTTTTCTTTGTTCACGCTCTGGTTACTATAACAGAACTGGTAGATGTTCTTATTTTAAGAAAGTGTAGTCTGTTGAGCAGACTAGCAGGGACAAAAGCCTTAAATGATATTGTCTGTTTTACTTTCTAATTGATTTCTTTTATAAATACTGTCTGCCTTTGCTACCAGTTGTGACTGGAGGGCAGGCAGTGTGCTCGCCAATGTGAAAAGCTATATTTATTCTCCATCCACAGCTTCGAAGGGAAGCAGAAAGGTAGTCAGTACATTCTAAATACAGAGTGCAATGCAGGCAACTGCCATTTATAATAAATAGAGAATGTTTTCTTTATGTGTTTTCTTTAAGAGCGGTAATGGTAGTGCTTGGGGGTACTTGTGACATTTTAAAGTGTCCAGCCCTTGGCTTTTCACTATTTTTCTACCTACGTTTTTATGGCACTACTGTCATTTCCATTTTATTTATGAACTTGCAATTGAGAGTCTTATTTAACAAAGCCTCAAGGACAAAGATACAGGAGCTGTACAGTCTTTTTAACCATAACCAGCATTGCAATGTACCAATATCCTTTGCATGTTAAAATTTGTGTTTTTTTCATGTTTTGTGGCCTTACCTATGTCCAGTGCACCCTCTGCTAGTCCGGTTTCTTTCCTTGTCCTCTCCCTCTTTCCCTTGGCCTGTTTTTGCTAAAATGCCTAATGGAATGAAGGTGTCTCAGTTTTTTTCATTAATACTGCTGTGTTAATGAAACTGCCAAGTTCTTCCCTCTGTTAAAGAAATACAACTGAAGGCAGTTGTCTTGCCCAGAATAAACTAATGGACACAAGGTCACCATTTGTATTGTAATACAGATTTGACCTTTTTCGGTTCTTTAAATGTTGTCTAAAGTTAATGCAGATCTCTCCATGGAGTGGGAATTTGCTTAAATGGTTTGAAGGATAATGTTTTATAAAAGCATTGCACACGTGCATAGCTGTAAAGTCTGGGAAAACAACACTATTCAGTTTATTTTTAACTCCTCAGTCTGAGTGCAGGGTAACTTCTTTCAGAGGCTAATACCTACAGAACAGAAGGGAGGTGTGCCTTTTCCGTGTGCACATTTTATTGCCGGTGCTAGTTTAGGTGCCTGGTGGGGGTACCAACAGTGGTAGAAATTCAGCATGCAGGTGTTAGCACAACCTGACAGCCAGAATGCCAGTCCAGGCATCTAAGGAGCCTGTATGCAGATTGGTAGCAGTGGCCCAGGCTTTAGCTGGGGGTCTTTACATAAAAGCTGGATAAGGAGAGCATGAGCTACAGGAACACCTTCCTTTGGCCGTGTAGATGCAACAAATTGACCAAGAAAGAAGCTCTAGAAATACTTTAGAGCTTAAAATAGAAGTCTTCCAAAGATTATTTTGTTTAAAAAGCAGTGTCCAGTGCACCATGTATCCTGGCTTTTCATTGCATGGGGATACTTGAGCACGTGCATTAGGTAGACCCTGACCTGGCCAGCACATGAGGACGCACTAATTCTGCCGAGTAAGAGCTGTACCTGTGCTGAAGTGCTGGGAGCAGTAGGGCCCTGTTGCCTTGTTTTCCAGAAGGCAGCTATTTTGCACCAACTGATCATGTTCACAGAGTTCCCAGAGAACCATTTTAGTGAGAACCTTTTTACAGTGTTTGTTTTTTGTTTGTTTGTTTTTTTTTTAGTGTTTGTTTTTGTTTTTGTTTTTAACTTTATAACAGAAATTAAAGTCACTTTATAAGAGATTTATTGCAAGCATGACAAATAATACTACCAGAAATTAGGGAGAAAGAAACAAAAACAGGATTCCGACGACTTGTGACTCTGCTAAATCAATGTATCTGTAAATCCACCCTCTTGAACTCCACCCGTGTGATGTGGTGCATGTTAGTACCAGGCTTCACTGCTCTTACCATCTCTCTTCTTTCCCCTGTGGCAGGTGGCTGGTATGCAGATAGCACCCAGGGGAGAGCTCAGGGCTGCGGCAGGGCAGGGTACTGCGCAGGAGCTGGGGTCTACAGCACACCACCCACCCTGGCTCCATCGCCAGTTTGCCCTGGGGCCTTTAACCACTGAGAGAGACCTTGGGGATTTTAGGCTGGTAACGTTACATTGATAGCGTCCACAGACATCTCCCTTGAAGAACAAAAGTGACAACTACTCTATTCCCTCTGAACCAGGGGCATTCAGTACTTCTGAAGATTGGGCTCTAGATGTTTAAAGATTAGATCCTAAAATTAGAGACCAGTGCTAGAAATCTGGATTTTTACTGCAACTGGCCACACACCTCCATGGCCACGTATCTCATTGTAATTTCATGCCAGTCACTGGAGCTGTGTCAAATACAGCTGAGGATCCCACTCAGCATCTCATGTCCTTGTGTTAAAATGAGGATGATGATACCTGCTCCTAAAACCACCTGTTAATAAAAAGAAAATAATTTGTCATGCTATAGCGTAAGTACTTCCCTGCAGTATTTATTCTAGAACTATGGGAGATGGTCAATGCTGCCGTTCAGTAACTGATGATTTATTAATGGTGCGTGGGGTTACTTACCCCAAAGAAGGGCATGAGGGGTAACAGTAATTTATGTTTCTACAGTGCTTTAATGATGCTACATGCTACATACTGTTGTCTGTCCAGTAACATAGCATAAAGTCCAAAGATAAGTTTAAAATGTACATAATTTTTACTTGAATGAACTAAGAGAAACTGGATATTTGCTTGAAGAAATACAAGTGGACAGAAATCAACTGCATTTCCACAATGGGACAATGAAATCAACTTTTGGCTGCTCTGTTCTCTGGTACCACAGTGGGTGGTTGTGCTGTAGTGCCTGCCGCTTTAAAAATTTGAAATCTGTTTTGCACTGTAGCCTCCTTCTCCCAGTCACTCTCATCTTTCTCAAACAAATTCCTTTTATGATCCTATTTTTCATCCTCTATCTCAGGCCAAAGATTCTTAGAGTGAAATTAGTAGATTTCTTTGTATGAGGATAAAAACCTTCCAACAATTTTCTCCCAGGTTTTAATAAGAAATTTGATGCTGAGATAAATGACCAAAGATAGAAATTCCAGACTTGCCTTGTTTAGAAAAACTCCTTCAGACTTAAGAAGTTGTCTTGAAAGACCTAAATAAGGACTGCTTTGTTAGAGCTCGTAGGTAAAGGAGCCCTACAGCTTTTGAGCTTCACAGGAGAGATGCTTCTATTGTTGAGCAGACTTTTTTGGAAATGTGCTGGGAACAAAAAATCTACATCCTATATACATATTCTTATTATAGAAATCAAAAAAGCTTCTCTTGTATGGCTTCATATTTTAGGGATTCAAATGCCCTGGAGGCTTTCTAGGGTATACTTATAGGTAAGATAATTTAAAAAATACACTAAAACAGTTGAACCGAGTGTGCTAGTTTTAAAACAGTTGTAAGACATCTCTCACACATGAGTGGGTAGGATCAGACCCTAATTTATGTGGCTGGCGATAGAGATGTGAAAATTTACCTCTCTCGGAACAGCGAGAGTTGATTCTTCTGTGGTCTGCTGGAAGGTGAACTTCCTGCTAAGATTCTGGAAAAGTTCAGTCTAATTTTTATTTGTCCTCTAGTTAGTAAAGTAATGAAGTGAGAGCTGAACGGTTTTGCTGAACAGGAAGCCCAAAGGTCTGTTTTGTGTCACAACACTCGAGTTACTCAGAACTGATGTGTTCTTATAATTTATAATTACAATTTATACAATTCATATATAATTTATAATTAGTAATTATAAAATATTAATGTTAAGTATCATTGCCTTTTATCATATGATAGATTTATTTTCGTTGCATTCATACTGGAAGCCTTTCCTCTTCTGCTTCCTGTGGAGAAGGTCATGGTGTTCCTGGCAAGGTAAATTCCTATGATTTGGTGCAGTCCACAGTAAATGTTTACTGCTATTTTTTAGTTATATCAGGTTTTGTTATGATCCCTCAAATTAGTTCTTTGAATCAAGCAGATTTCTATTGTTAGGAAAGGTAGTTTCCTAGAAATGAATTTTATTGACGATCACAGTTTGGGCTATACAAGATGATACTGGTTGACAAGGTCCACCAGCTTTTTAGAGGACACGACCTCATTGTTTCCCCTTCTGCCCAAGAGGCTTTCTCTTTTCTTGGCTGAAAATTAAGGACTTCAGTCATTTGCTTGTGCCTTCTGGATGTCCAAACAGAAGCAGCAGCTTCTGGTGGCCATGTGCTGGGAGATCCCAGACAGGTTGAATGTGCGATGCTGCAGCACATGTGCAGTGAGTTCCTTAAATTTCAGGAAGGTGCCTGAGCTTCACGGCTTGCTGGGGCCCATGCAGTGGATGTGGTGCACAAGGGACTCATCCAGGCAGCTTCGTGAGTGCCGCCAGCTGTATGGCACGTGTAGTGCTGGGACGGTGCTGCACCGCAGCCGTGATGCCGGACCATCTCACCATGCGCAAGCGTATCCCAGAGTTTCATCAGGGGCCCTATCTCATAGCTACCCGCCCACCTCCAAAACTCCCCAAATTCCACAGCAAATCTCTGTTCCTTTCGTTTTCCAGTCTCTGCTACTGGCCTGTTTCAGTTTCAAAGAAACCTCAGTTCAGGTGAGGTATTTGGAGCTCGGCTGGTCTAAGCCTAATGAGCAAGTCTTGTGAATGAAGAAAAGCAGAACTGTTATATACCACGCTGACGTTAGCATCGCAGGTGCCAAGGGTCACCCTGTGAGAACTCTAACCGCCCCAGCATTGCTTTTTTCTGAAAAAAGTGTGTATTTGAAATACAAGTGTGATTCAAAGCGTCCGAGTCTGACAGCAGGGTGCGTTTCTGAGCGCTGATGTGGACCGGCAGCAGTCGTGGACCCCTGTCCTGCCCGGTCTGAGGCAGGTACTCGGCTCTGTGCGTTGCAGATGGAGGCACTGGGTTTAGCCGGGCTATTTGCAGCGCTCCCAGCTCTTCTCAGTTTAAGGTCTCCAGGCTGGACTGATGCTGCTTTTGGATGCATTCGTTTGAAATAAAGCCTTGGCTTGAGAGGAGCAGGAGAGAGGGCACTTCATTGCTGTGTGGGGCGAGTGGCACGGCAAGGAGCAGTTTCGTCTCGGCAGGAGGAATCGCGTTCCTCTCCACGGCGACAGCCCTTCTTCTTCGGGGGGCTCGTCTCCTGCGCTGCAGTAATTTACAGGGGTAAATTACTCCTCAGCGTCTAGATGTTGTTTCCCCGGTACCTGTTTAGGCTAACGTTTTGTTTATCTGGGTTTTTTTCTTTTCCTCCAGGTAATACACTTTCTTCACCACTTTCCTCCTGGTGAAGGGCAAAAGAGTTTGATCTTTGTAAGATTTGTTAAAATATTTTTGTGTTTATAAGAGGAAAGCTGACATGTATAAAGAAGTAAGTGCTTTTGTAAATTTTTTGTTGTATGATTCAGCATTTAAACATTTTACAGATGCAATTTTTTGCACTCTCTCTGCATATATTCATAAAAAATATATTTATTTTCTGTCTTTAAGATTTACTTTGGGGTTTTTTTCCTTCTAATGTTATAAAATGCAGTATGTGCAACATTAAAAAATTAGTGTAAAGACATTGTCTCATTTTGTTGTAATTCTTAACTGCCTTTAAAAAGATGAACGTAGAAAATTTATGGGAAGAATTTGAACACATCTGGGGTGCTTAATGGGAATTTTGAGGATAAAAGAGGATAGAAGAGATGGGATCAGAATCTTGACTCTTACCTACTTTCTCAAAAATAAGTGACATTAAAATCCCTTTAAAGAGAGCGGGGCAGGCTTTGGGTCAGCTCCTGCGCGCTGCTGCGGTGGCGTGCAGATGCGACGGCAGTGCTGGTGTTTGCTCTCTGTAGGTGGGGGGCAGGGTTACCATAAATCTACCCCCTCGCAAAGTCTGGTGGAGACCGTGACCTGGGGCGTACCAGGAGCAACCCGGAGGAGCCAGAGCTACCCCAGGCTGTGGGTGGGGGATGCGCGGGAGGCTGCACAAAGAGAAGTCTGCTGCTTCAGAGCCCCCTTTCTTTTCCCTTGCTCCCTCAACCCTGCCTCTCCTTGCAGCAGAATTAGGCCTCCTGCTCCGCTTTTCCAAAGGACATGATACAACACTACACCCTGTTGTGCAATTTCAGATATACACGCTCCTTAGTTTTCTCACATACCCACATCCTGCAGTGCTTACAAGAGACAATCACAGCTGTGTTTTTGAACATCACATATTAAGGTGATCTTTACTATTAAATATTTCCAGCTTAGCTACAAGTACTTGGCTTCCGAAGGTAGGATTTTCCACCTGGGAAAATCATATCCTTGAAAACCCAGTGTGTCATCTGCGGGGCTTTTCACCTCAATAGATTATCTGAAAGGTCTTGAGAGTTTTGCCTCTGAGGACACATTTTGAGGGTTGAGGAGAACAGCTAGAAGGCTGTTTTCACCTCAACGTTGCCTTTGCAAGAACGTCATCGTTGTCACCTACAGCTCAAAATTTTGGTCACGCCTGTACATTTTTTTTTCCCCACCAGTTTGCTCAGAGTAAATTCAGCGCTGATGTTATTCCACTTAAACACAGTAATTTTATTTATTTACTTTTTTGCGGCTGAGGCTCTGGTCTTGTTTGGTGAATGTGCAACAAAGCAGTGGCAACACATCTGCCCACATGGTAAC